TTACCATTTGTTTTTCTAATTCTTGATTACTTCACCTTGTATCTGTTACATGTGCAATGACACTAAACTATGCGAAACTGAACTGTGCAAAAGTGAACTGTGCGAAACTGAACTGTGCGACACTGAACTGTGCGACACTGAACTGTGCGACACTGAACTGTGCGACACTGAACTGTGCACAAAAGAATTGTCCAATTGAACAAACGCTGATTTAGAAAGATTTATTATATATAAATTAGAAAAATTTCCAAACAGGGCTCTACACGCATACGCGTGTGCCTGTGTGTTTTAAATTATATTTCGATAACCTGTGTCCAAAAGCAACGGTGTCCAATTGTACGGTGCGCAAAAGAACTGTGTCCAAATGAACGGTGCGCAAAAGAACTGTGCGCAAAAGAACTGTGCGCAAAAGAACTGTGCGCAACATTATGTGTCCAATAGCACTGTGTGCAATTGCATCGTGTCCAATTGTACTGTGCGCAATTGAAGGCTTCTCGGCGGGGAAGGGGTATCTGGCCCCTCCTCTCCCGCTCCGCCGCCTCCTTCTGCGAGATGACTTTCTCGCAGAAGGAGGCAAACGCGTGCCAGGACCTCTCCTCTTCCAATATTGCGGTGATCACCGCTGAAAGGGAGAGGTCCTGCCCTATCACGCGGACGAGCGCCTCCCGCTCGTCCGCCCACGCCGGACACGCCCAACGTGTGTTGGGCGGTGTCGTCCGCCGCGCTGCAATGGTGGCAGCGGGAGTCTTGCTCCTTCCCGATCCGACCAGGAAATGTCCGAAGCAGCCATGCCCCGTCATCACCTGGGTCATCCGGAAAGACAGCCCACCCCATCCCCTGTCGACCTACTGGTCAAGGAGGGGCCCGATTGCCCCGACGACGCGCAGCCCCGGGGTGTTGTTCCCCGAGGCTAAGAGCGCCTCTCGCCACATGGCGATTGTGCGTCGCCGGTGCCGGAGTCTCTGCCGAGCACGGTGAATCGCCGACCATCTTATGGGTCTCCCGTCGGAGTCGCGGCTTTCGAGGAACATGTTACTATGTTTCTCCGCCGCGTACTCCATCGGGGGGAGACCAGCGATCACCGCCGCCGCGTTGTACGCCACGTTCCGGTACGCCTTACAGATCCTCGCGGCTATCGGGCAAAACGCACGCGCCATCTGAGCGCGCGCGCGCCGCGATGCCGCGAGTTTTGGGGCCCAAACCGGGGCCCCGTAGAGCGCCACGGACTTAACCGTATTGGCGTACAGCCGACGCACCTTGCCGTCCGGGCCGCCAAGGTTGGGGAGGAGCCGGCCAAGCTTGGCCGCTCTCACTCCCGCCCTGCTTGCGGCTCTGGCAAGGTGGTTCGCAAAGCTCCATCGGTCGTCGAGGATCAACCCGAGATAGTTCATCTCGTGGCCGATCCTGACGAGGGCCGTACCCACAGCCAGGGTGAGTCCCTCGGGCGGCGCGCCGCGTGCTCCACGTCTTTTACCGTGGAACATCACGTCCTCGGTCTTGCCGAGTGCCACCTCGAGACCCAGGCTGCGGATAGAGTCGACTATCGCTCCCGCTGCCACTCGCCCCCTGGCGAGGGCCTCCCCCCAATCGCGGCCCCCGGCCGTCACGAGCGTGTCGTCTGCATAGCAGACGACGTGACAGCCGGGGGGGAGGGGAACGCGCAGCACCGGGTCGTACCCCAGGTTCCAGAGGAACGGTCCCAACACGGAACCCTGGGGCACTCCCCGGTGCAATCTCTCCCGCCGACGTACGCCGCCTTGGTCGGTGTATTCGACCCACCTGTCCCTCAGGTAGTCGCTCACAACGCGGGCGAGATACGACGGTACCTCGCGGCGTCGGAGCGACTCCCTGATTCGTCCCCAGGGGAGGGTGTTGAAGGCGTTGGATATGTCCAACGACACAGCCAACATCACCCCCCCCCC